GTTGCCTAAACAACTGACAGCCGCGGGAAACGGCAACGGTGAGCTGCTGTGACATAAATATCAAAATATGTTCGTATCCCTAAATGTCAGATAATGCATAACTCCTCTAAGATACGGTCTCCTTAGTATCTCCAGAACCTTCTCTCAGATACATTTTGTTGCTATAGACACCGTAGACCCCTAGAGAACCATATCATCCCACTGGCAACACTCAGGAAAGTGCTCCTAAGTTGCGCGGCAAACTGAGATGTCAAATTCCCGACAAATCGATACCATCTCTCCTTGTTTTGGCATTCTCTACGTGGATCACCGAACATCCCGTAGATACGTCTACACTCAGCTGTCAAACAGAACTTGTATCTTCATACTTGTGAATGTCGAGAGATTCCTCCATTTCCTGCCTCAAATAAGTATTTCGCAGTCAAACACTGCCACCAATCTCCTTGGCCAAGAGAACTGATTCCATTTATCTGCTGATGTACGTCCGTCTTTAATCTGTCCGTTGTCCAGTCGCTAGCTTACAGGGACTTAGTTTAAAGCCATCTAGCGGTAGTGTAAGAACGGCGTCTTTACATTTAGGTAGCACAACATTACACCACCTTCCCGTCATCTAGAGGCACCAGTTAAGCATGATATAACCTTATGGTGTCTAACCGACCTCAGTGCATACGACATACCGCCTCACTAAGACGGAATGCACTGACTCGTAGCAAAACAAATGCTCTCACCATGAAATGTTTATTAATCGTTAATCACTACAAAATTCTATCGCCTAGGTCTACTTAGAATGCTTGGAATGGCGAAATACGCTGGACGGCATTCTCCCCAGCCTGTGATCTTTCGCTAGGCTGTCGCGAAAGTATATCGCGGACCACACAATGAACAGCTAACCAGGCTATGGCGAAGGTCTTTCGGATCAACCACTCAGCAGATTCGTCTCTCATTACAGAAATCGTACACAACTGATTTTTTTTGTAACTTGGAAATTTCACTGGCTGGGTACCGATTCCAAAAAAATTTCAGAACTGAGAAAACTACCTTCCAGGGTTAAATGTCAGGCTTTGCCCCGCTGAACAGACTAAATTATCGCTGGAAAACTGAATCGGATGGTAATACTGATAGTTGCGGTAAGAGTCGCACTGACTTTCATCTAATGTCAAATAAGCACTAACAGCTAGAAACTACAGCTTCTATCGTACAGGGAATACCACAGAAAGCGCTGCTCACAAACGGGGTTACAAAAGCAGTCAGCAGACATGCTGGAGCTACGTACACTTGGGCGTGGTACATCACCGAATCATTACAGCGAGGTTAAAGCTCAAGAACAAAGTACTTGAGGTCATGGTAGTTGGTTGCTATGCGCCTGTCGAAGGAACCAAACAAAATATCAGTAACCTTACAAGATACACAAATGCTGATTGCAGAAACATAACACTGAACTGGGAAACAAAGAGAGGGAAAAGGAATTGCAACATTCTGTAGATGACAGTAGAATTTGGCCATGTCCAGTTTATTACGAACTGAATGGTCAGCAAATTCGGTGCAGTTTTATTCCAGAAAGCACAGTCAAGCATTGGTAGAACAAAATCAATGAAAAGTGCTTCTAACTGCATTAAATGGTCGACGGATATAACATCTAAAAATAAACAATTAAACTACAGCACAAACCACTACAAAATTACAATTCGAATTCTGCTTCCCATCGCTTTCGGTGGAAGGTTGCTGCGGAATCTGGCACGAACAACGCCTGAACTACCATGAGGACGCATCACCTTACCCCATATCGCTCGCCGTTTACTCCAGATTTTTTTCCCAGGAACTTTTCGATGGCTGGAAAAAGAAAGCAGCGATGAGGCGAATTCATCACAGTTAAATTTCGATCAATAAAACGATTACATTTTGCCTTTGTAAATGTAAACACATCTTTTTCCTAAATAGAACGTCGTTTCTTTCTTCGAATAAACGCCGTCTATTTTCAACAACGCCGTATTCTCCTGCTGATTTCTTCGTCCCCTTCTGAAACCAGCGAACACCGCCTTAGCGTAGAGTCT